CAGGGACAGATTTGCTCCTCCTCCAGTACTATACCCAGGTGATATATAATGACAGACCTGCCCTCGCTAGTGCCGTACACCAGTGGTATACACAGACAGGCCTATCCCCCACCTGTACTATAGTGCAGTTTTACAGTGACCTGTCCCTAGCAGTGCTGTACCTATGACACCCCCTGTTAAACTGCCACAGATGTGCCCCGACCAGTACTGTATTCTGTAGGCTGAATAGGCTGGAACTTTTTAAACTGGACCTTAGGAGGTGCAGAGCTGACCTTAAGAGGTTTATAAAATTGAGGGGATAGATAAGATGAATAGCAAGGGTCTTTTCCCTAGACTGGAGGAGTTCAAAAGGTGGGGGGCCATATTTTTAAGGTGAGATGTGAAAGTTTTTTAAAAGTTAATTAGGGACAGCCTTTTTACACAGTCATTCATATGTGGAATGAACTGCCAGAGAATGTGGTGGATGCAGATACAGTTCGAACATTTTAAAAGACATTGGGTTAAGTACATGAATTGGGACAGTTTGGAGGGATATGGACCAAATGCAGGCAAGTGGGACTAGTTTAGTTTGGGAACATGGCGTGGACTAGTTGGAACAAAGGGCCTGTATGACTCTATCCATATGCTTTTGAGCTTGCCTGCATGATTTTCCAGTTCTGATTAACCCCTGTCTTGCTTCTTCAGACTAAGATGAAGAGGAGAGCTGTAGGCATCTGGCATTGTGGATCCTGCATGAAAACAGTAGCCGGAGGGGCTTGGGCCTACAAGTAAGTGAACAGTTCTTACTGGGGCAGGAGGAGCAAGTTGGAAAGTGGAGCACTGCGTCTGTTGATTGGGATAGGACTTAAGTGATGGCCTATAGTGGTATTATCACTGGACCATTGATCCAGTGACCTGAGTAATATTCTGAGGATCTGGGTTCAAATCCTGCCATGGCAAATGGTAACATTTGAATTCAATAAAGATCCGGAATTAAGAGTCTAATGATGGCCAAGAGTCCATTGTTGTAAAAATGCATCTGATTCACTAATGTCCTTTAGCAAAGGAAACTGCCATCCTTATCTGGTCTGGCCTACACGTGACTCCAGACCCATAGCAATGTGGTTGGCTTTTAACCACCCTCTGGTTAACTAGCCCTGAACAATAAACGCTTGTCCAGGCAATGACATCCACACTTTGTGAATGGATAACAGAAACTTGGCTAGTCGTCTTGAATTATTGTACCTCTTGGGGTTAAGAACACCCACAGTGCTATTAGGGACACGTTGAGCAGACAGCAGGGAATTCATAGAGTAATCAGCAAGGAAACAGGCCCTTTGGTGCAACTAATTCCAATTGCCTGCATTTGGTCCATTTCCCTCCAAACCCTTCCAATCCATGTACCTATCCAAATGTTTTTTTAACTGTTGCTATTGTGCCTGCCTCAACTATTTTCTCTCGCAGCCCATTCTATATACGCACCACTTTGCGTGAAGAGGTTGCCCCTCAGGTCCTTCTTAAATCTTCCCCCTCTCACCTTAAACCTATGCCCTCTAGTTTTCAATTTTGCATTCCTGGGAAAAAGACGGTATGCATTCATCCTATCTATGCCCCTCATGATTTTATACACCTCAATAAGGTCACCCCTCATTCTCCTATGTTCCAAGGAATAAAGTCCTTTCCTGTCCAACCTCTCCCTATAACTCAGGCCTAGTAGTCCTGGCAACTTCCTTGTAAATCTGCTTTACACACTTCCAGTTTAACTCTGTCTTTCCTATAACAGGGTTGCCAAAACTGTACACAAAACCCCAAGTGTGGCCTCACCAATAACTGATACAACTGTAATACAGCATCGCAACTCCTATATTCAGTGCCTTGGCCAATGAAGGCCAGTGTGCTAAATGTCTTCACCACTCTGTCTACCTGTGACGCCACTTTCCATGAACTATGTACTTGTACTCCTAGGTCCTTCTGTTCCACAACACTCCTCAGGACCTTACCATTTACTGTACAAGTCCTATCTCGGTTTGACTTTCCAAAGTGCAGCACATCACTTTTATCTGCATTTGCCAATCTTCAGCCCACATTCCCATCTGATCAAGATCCCTCTAATTTTAAGGTCCCAGCACCAATCCCTGTGGCACACCACTAGTCACAGGCCTCCAGTCTGAGAAACAGCCTTCAACCATCACCCTCTGCTTCCCACCATCGAGCCAATTTTGAATCTAATGAGCTAGCTCTCCCTGGATCCTGTGCAACTTAACTTTCATGACTAGCCTTCTGTGCGGGACCTTGTCAAAGCCGAAGAAAAGTCCATATAGACAACATCCACTGCCCTACTCTCATCCATCCTCTTGATTACCTCCTTGAAAAACTCCATAAGATTTGTCAAACATGACTTCTTGTGCACAAATCCATGCTGACGATCCCTAATCAAACCTTCAATATCCAAATGATCAGAGGTATAGATACAGTAGACAGCCAGAGACTTTTTCCTAGGGTGGAGGTAGCTATTACAAGGGGGCATAGTTTTAAAGTGAGTGGAGGTATCTATAGGGGAGACATCAGAGGTAGGTTCTTTACTCGGACAATGGTCGGGACGTGGAATGCATTGTCGGAGAGGTTAGTGGAGTCGGCCTCATTAGGTGCATTTAAGCGGCTATTAGGTAGGCATATGGATGATAGTATAAGGTAGGGGTGGAGGTTAGATAGACTTTAGGATTAGGGTAAAAGTTTGGCACAATGTCGTGGGCCGAAGGACCCGTACTGTGCTGTACACTTCTATGTTCAAAGGGTGGTTGATCCTGTCCCTTGGTATCCTCTTCAATAACTTGCCTACCACTGATGTCAGGCTCACTGGCCTGTAGTTCCCTGGCTTGTCTTTGCTACCTTTCTTAAACAATGGAATAGCAGTCTTTCGGAACTTCGCCAGTGGCTAAAGATGAAGCAAAAATCTCTGCAAGGGCCTCTGTAATTCCTTCACTAATCTCCCACAATGTCAGAGGATGGACTTTTTTAATTCATTCACCGGATGCGGGCGTCGCTGGCCAGGCAGCATTTATTGCCCATCCCAAATTGCCACATTGCTGTGGGTCTGGAGTCACATGTAGGCCAGACCAGGTAAGGATGGCAGTTTCCTTCCCTAAAGGACATTTAGTGAACCAGATGGGTTTTTCTGACAATTGACAATGGATTCATGGTCATCATTAGATTGTTAATTCCAGACATTTATTGAATTCACATTCCACCATCTGCCATGGTGGGATTCAAACCCAGGTCCCCAGAACATTAGAGATAACACGGTGTAGAGCTGGGTGAACAAAGCAGGCTAAGCAGCATCAGAGGAGCAGGAAAGCTGACGTTTTGGGTCGAGACCCTTCTTCAGAAATGGGGGAGGGGAAGGGGATTCTGAAATAAATAGGGAGAGAGGGGGAGGTGGATAGGAGATGGATAAAGGAGAAAATAGGTGGAGAGGAGACAGACAGGTCAAAGAGGCGGGGTTGGAGCCAGTAAAGGTGAATGTAGGTGGGGAGTTAGGGAGGGGATAGGTCGGTCCAGGGAGGACGGACAGGTCAAGGAGGCGGGATGAGGTTAGTGGGTAGGAGATGAGGGTGGGGCTTGAGGTGGGAGGCATGGTTAGGGAGGTGGGAACGAGCTGGGCTGGCTTTGGGATGCTGTCGGGGGAGGGGAGATTTTGAAGCTTGTGAAGTCCACATTGATACCCTTGGGCTGTAGGGTTCCCGAAATGAGCTGCTGTTCCTGCATCCAGCTCTACACCGTGTTATCTCAGATTCTCCAGCATCGGCAGTTCCTGCTATCTCTCCCCAGAACATTATTTGGGTCTCTGGACTAACAGTCCAGCGATAATACCACTAGGCCATTGCCTCCCTGGGGGATTTATACAACTTAATGTAATCTAAGGCTGCAAACACTACCTCTCTGGTAATATGTATGTGGTTTCTCTTATTTCCTTAGCATCTATGATTCTCTCGTCAGTAAACACTGAGGAGACATATTCATTAATAATCTCCCCATCTCCTGTGGCTTAACACAGAGATGGCCATGCTGATCTTTAATGGGACCTATTCTCTCCCTAAAACCCTTTTTAACAAAGCTATTGAACCTCTTGAGATTGTCTTAACCTTATCTGCCAAATCCATCTCATACCCTCATTTTGCTCTTCTGATTTCCCTCTTGTGTGCTCCGACACTTTTTATAGTCATCTAGGACCTTGAGCCCGATAGGCATACATTGGGTTTAAACTACTACTTTTTCCTGACCAGAGCCTCTCTATCCCTCGTCTGCCAGGGATCCCTAAACCTGCCAGGTTTTCCCTTATCCCTCACAGGGATATACTGACCCTGGACTCTTGATATCACACTTTTAAAAGCCTGATATTTGCCAGTCGTTTCTTTCCCTTCAAACAGACTTACCAAATCAATTGCTGCTAAATCCTGCCTAAAGGCCCCAATATTGCCCCTGTTCCAGTTCAGCACCTTAACCTGTGGACCTGTCCTATCTTTTTCCAGAACTATGTTAAAAATAAGAGAGTTATGGTCCCTGGATCCAAAGTGCTCTCTGACTGACACTTCAGTCACTTGCCTAACCTCGTTTCCTAAGACAAGGTCCATTGTTGCACCCTCCTGAGTAGGATCCTCTACATGTTGATTTAGGAAACGCTATTGGACACATTTGACAAGTTCCACCACGTCCAGGCCTTTTCCACTCTGGGTAGCCCAGTCAATAAAGGGGAAATTAAAATCTCCAGCCAATACTACTCTGTTATTCCTACAGGTATCTGCAGTCTCTCTACACATCTGCTCCTCTAATAGCTGCTGGCTATTAGGCAGTCTAAAAACAGTTCCAACAGTGTGACCATCCCTTCCTTATTTCTGAGTTCTAACCATATGGCCTCATTTGATGACCAATTAAGAATACCCTCTCTAAGCACTGTTGTTATGTCCTTCCTTATGAAAAGGGCAACTCCTGCTGCTCGCTTGCTTGTACTTCTGTCATGCCTGTCGCTTCTGTATCCTGGAACATTGAGCTGCCAGTCCTGCCCTTCTCTCAGTCCTGTTTCTGTTATGGTTATTATATCCCAGTCCCCAGAGCCAATCCATGCTCTGAGCTCATCTTACCAGTCAGGCCTCATGCGTTAAAATAAATGCACTTTAAACCAGAAGTCTTTTCCCTCCTTTTACTGTGCCCTGGCTATCCTGAATAGTAAACTTTACTGTGGAATTACTTGCTTTGAAATTCAACTCTCCGACCTGCTCATCTACATTTTGAAATGTTCATTCATTGGAATAGGATGTCACTAGCTAGGCTGGTATTTATTTCCCATCCCTAATTGCTCAGATTTGGCTTTGTCATATGTAGGCCAGACCAGGTAAGGAGAGCAGATTTCTTGCCCTAAAGGATATTAGTGAACCACATATCTTCATAATCATCAATGGTTTTGTTGTCCTTATTGGATTTTGAATTTTAGATTTTTATTCAGTTCAAATTCCACTGTATCTGGGTCCTTGGGAATATACCATCAGGTTCTGGATTACTTTTTTATTACGTTACCTCCATGCTGTCCCTTTCCTTATTTGGCTGGACCAGTTTGATTCCTTCCCATAAGTTTATCATGGGGGATTGAGTGATTGTAATGCCTTGGAATGACAAGGAAAATGGTTAAATTATCTTTTATTGGAGATGGTTATTGTCTGGCACTTGTGTGGCTCCAAGATTACTTAGCACTTGTGAACCCAAGCCTGGATATTACCTAGGTCTATGGAGTATTGAATGTATTTAAGGTAGGGATTGATACATTTTTGATTAGTAGGGGGATTAAAGGTTACTAGGAGAAGGCAGGATAAATTTATCAGCCATTATCAAATGGCAGAGCAGACTCTGGGCCAAATGGCTTAATTCTGCTCTTGTATCTTATGGTCTGTCTGTGGACTCTTCAAGCATAATTGAGTCTTTCTGAAGAAAGTATAAATGAAGCTTTCCCCTTGAATTGGTGTTCCTTTGACATTTTTTTAACAACTGGAGTTCTGTGCTACCAAATCACTGAGCCTAAACTATTTGTCTCTTGCATGATGTTTAGATATCAATGGAAAATTTGAAGATCATGAAGAGTATTATAAAAAGGCAGCTGTTCCTTTATACCAACTGTGTTGGCACTGTTTGTTGTGATATATTGGCTTACCCTGTTTTGTTTAGCCAAGTGTGATTTAGCTCTGTTTGTGGGATAACCCTGGCAGATTTGCTCTGACAAACTGTTTTTCCTTTTTTTCCCTTCTCTGCCAGTACCACCTCAGCTGTTACAGTGAAATCTGCAATTCGCCGTCTGCGGGAGTTGAAGGATCAGTGAACAGTGGCTGGGGAGGTGGATCCTTTCCAGAGGTGCATGTGTCAGCAGAGTTGTTAATAAAAGTTTTAAATAAAGACACCATTGTTTATTAGTCTGTTATTTGCTGACAAGACCTGTCAGTGACTGAATAGTGGCTGTGTTTTGCCTATTAATTGTTGTACTTTGAAGTTTTGGCACAGAGATCTCAGGAGACTGAACTCCTTTTTACTGATATGAGAGGTAAAACATTTTGATTGAGTTGGAGGAAAAGACCCATAGCTGTTTTAAGAGTAGCAACAAATAATTACTTCCAAATTAATTCCTACACTAAATTTCCACTTTTGTTCTCACGGTTAAAGGTATCTTGCTGGAAGTGCAGCTATTTTGTTAATATGAAATTTTGAAGATTTTTTTCTGGTGGTATTTAGAAATCTAAATCTTTGGTTTTGGCTTTAGTTTAAACTTTTAACTCTTAAATACCACTAATACTTTAAATCCCAAAGTCATCTTATTTTAAGGAAATCATTATTTTCAGTTTCCTAAATGGTTCCTGTTATGAAAAAGTTCAGATTTCATCAAATATTCTCATACCTTTTCCTTCCCTAAATCTGTGGCTAATCACCTTTAGCACAATCCTAGTCACTGGAATGTGATAATTGATCAATGTATTGTCCAAGCCAAACAATGTTGGAACGTTGTAAATTCGTAGGCTTCTACTTAAATTGTGGAATTTAATTGTAGAGCACAGGAGCAAGCTGTTCTGCCCATTGTGCCTATGCTGGCTCTTTGGATGAGTCATCTGATTAGTCTCCTTTTCCCACTCTTCAGACCTTAATCCAATTCCCTTTGGATTAAAGTAGAAAATGTTGGAGAAACTCAACAGGTCTGGCAGCATCTGCGGAGAAAGTGTTAATGTTTTTCAGTCCAAAGATATCTCCTTTTGGAAATGAAGTGAAGTGACTAAAGGATGAGCAAGTCAGACACCCCTTTCTGAATTTTAAAAAAAAAAAAAAAAATTGCGAGTGTTGGTAATCTGAAACAAAGACAGAAATTGCTAGAAAATTAAAGCAGCATCTATGACCTTTGGGGTAAATGAGGATAAACTCATCAAAACCATTCATAAATATTCATAGCCTTCCCTGCTGCTCTCAACAGCCCTAGCTCCTTGGCTGTCTCCACATGGCTGGAATATTCTTGCCAGTCTTTTGGTAGGCTGGGGCTTTCCTCAGTTTAGCACTCCATCCCATCAGTGATTCAAACCAGTGTTGCATGAAGCTTCATAAATTTCTTGCTTTTGTGGAGGAGGAGGGAGGTGATGGCCTGTAATTATTGCTGGACTATTAATTGAGCGACCCAGGTTTGAATCCCACCACAGTAGATGATGGAATTTGAATTCAATTAAAAATATCTGGAATTAAGAATCTAATAACAACCGTGAATCCATTGTCAGAAACACCCATCTGGTTCACTAATGTCCTTTAGGGAAGGAAACTGCCATCATTACCTAATCTGGACTGCATGTGACTCCAGGTCCACAGCAATATGGTTGACTCTGATCTGTCCTCTGGGCAATTAGGGATGGGCAATAAATGCTGCCTAGCCAGTGACACCCTCATCCCCTTAATAGTTTTTTAAAAAAATTCCTATGTGCCACAGCTTAAAAACCATAATGATGTCCTCAGAAGAGACACTGAAAGCATCCTTCACCCTCCTCCTTGTGCACACACACACTCTCCCCCTGTCTCCCACCCTCTCTCTCACACACACACACACACACACTCTTCTTGCGCATACAGCTCACTCTCCCCCACTCGTGCATGTGCGTGAACTCCTCCCTGTATATTTTAATCAATTAAAACCTAACTGATTAAAGATTTAACAGCATCTTAGGTTTGTTTAGTACATCCTTATCAGTGCTGTGACCCTGCGATCTTCTACTTATAAATTCTGTGTCTGATACTACCTCTCTCACTAACACCTGAAGAAAAAGTAAGATTTCGAAAGCTTGTGTTTTCAAATAAACCTGTTGGACTATAACCTGGTGTGTGATTTCTGACATCTCGTGTAGCCCTGTACAAATAATAGATTTCTTCTGAGTGCCTTGATCGAACCTGTTCCTTAACCACTCATTGGGTGAAAACAAGTTTTCTCATGTTGGCATTAGTACTTTTGCCACTTGCCTTAAATCTGTGCCCTGTGGTTCTTGGTGCTTCCAACAGTAGTACTAGTTTCTCCCTACTCTGTATAGGCCCTCTATCAAATTTCCTCCTAGCATTCTCTTTAAGGAGAATAATTCCAATCTTTCTATATGACTCAAATTCCTTATTCTTTGAACTCTTCTCGTGAATTTTTTTGTGTTAATCCCTCCTTTCTCTCTTAAACCTCTCCTACTCTGTCACACACTCTCATGCATTCTGTGTGCTCTCTATCACACATGCTGTCTGTCTTTGTCTCACACTCCTCAATAATGTTTGTTTTGATGCATGCACAGCAGCAACCTCCAAAACTGGAAGTCAGTGCATTGGAACAGCAGTGCAACTGAGGGGCAACACTAAATGTCTTTACATTCTTTCTAAAAGTGTAGTGCTCAGAACTGACCCACACAACAAGGTTGTTTTGGCAGGGTTAAGGATCCAGTTGTTGGCCATGTGTGTAATATGGATAGGGCTAAGAAAGAGGTTCTGCTGGGTAAGTACAGCAGCTTGCAGCTTGGTGGCTCAGTGGTTGGCACTGCTGCCTTACAGCAGTTCGATTCCACCCTTGGTTGACTGCCTGTGTGGACTTTACATGTTCTCCCCCTGTCTGCGTGGGTTTTCTCCAACAGTCCAAAGATGTGCAGGCTAGGTGGATTGGCCATGCTAAATTGCCCATAATGTTCAGGGGTGTGTAGATTTGGTGGGTTATAGGGGGATGGGTCTGGGTGGGATGCCCTGAGGGTTGGTGTGGACTTGTTGAGCTGAAGGACCTGTTTCCACACTGTAGGGATTCTATGATCTCAGCTTTTAAAAAAAATTCACTGGCAAATATAATCAGAAGTTGAATGCATGATTCAGATTTCAGTTCATGGTGCACTGACACCACTGCTGGAGTAAGAGGGAACTGTACCATTACAAGGAGCTTCAACTGAACTGTGCAAAGTCAGTGTCATGGCAAATCAAATAACCAGGGCAGCAGAGAGACCTTTAAATAATTTTAATAGATTTAGAAAGCTCAAGGGAAAGGACAAGGCAATTGTAAAGGGTTAACAGTACAGGTGATGAAAGAACCAGTGCGACAGGAAGGGACACAGCATACAAACAGAGCCAGTGGCACACATATAAGGAGACAGTCCATTGCATCAAATGTATGCTGGATTGACAACAAAAGACACTGGAAGAACGGTGAACCTTTCCTGGCTGACCAAGGATGATATCAAATTGAAACAAAAGGAGAACAAAGTGTTAGGCCAGAAAATTAGGAATATTTAGGAACTAGCAATGACTTGAAATAAAAGGGGGAAAACAATGAGAATAAACTAGCAAGAAATACATAAACAGGAAAGGGTTCTACAAGAAACAGAAGGAAGAGCAGCTGAAGTAAATATTTGACCCTTGAAACATGAGACAAGAATTAAAGTGAAACAGCAGACATTTTGAATAAGTGTTTTGATTCAGTTTTCACTGTTGAAGACACAGCAACTCAATAATAGCACATGATCAGGAAGTAAAATGTGCATGGGATCAATAAAAGTTTCTCTAGCGATTGTACTTTGTATCCTGTTTGGCCACAGATGAGGTCCCAGAGGACTGGAGAATAGCCAACGTTGTCCCATTGTTTAAGAAGGAGAAGGATAACAGCAATAATCCTGGAAATTACAGGCCTGTGAGTCTCACATCAGTGGTAGGGAGATTATTGGAAAAGATTCTCAGGGACAAGATCTATACGCACTTAGAAGCAAATGTACTTATTAGTGATAGACAGCATGGTTTAGTTCAGGGGAAGCTGTGCCTCACTAGCTTGATCGAGTTTTTTGAGGAGGTGACAAAGATGGTTGATGAGAGAAAAATGATTGATGTTGTCTACATGGACTTCAGTAAAGCCTTTGACAAGGTCCCTCATGGCAGACTGGCACTAAAGGTGAAGTCACATGGTATCAGGGTGAGCTGGCAAGATGGATACGGAACTGGCTTAGTGATAGGAAACAGAGGGTAGCGGTGGAAGGATGCTTTTTGGAATAGAGGGCTGTGACTAATGGTGTTCCACAGGGATCAGTGCTGGGACCTCTGCTGTTTGTGATCTACAGAAATGATTTGGAGGAAAGCATAGCTGGTCTAATTAGTAAGTTTGTGGACGATACAAAGATTGGTGGCGCTGTGGATAGTGAGGAGGATTGTCAGAGGATACAGGAGGATATAGATCAGTTGGAGGCATGGGCAGAAAAATGGCAAATAGAGTTTAATGCAGACAAATGTGAGATTGTGAGAATTGTAATCTTCCAAAATTCCTGAGATTCTGAAAATGTCCCAGTAAACCACATTATTAACAGTGCAGAAAGAAGCCATTCAGCCCATTTTGCTTGCAATAAAGAGGCCACTCAGTCCATCATGTTAGCACTAGCTCTCCAGATGAATAGTTCACCTTTGTGCAGGGTTATAAGGAGAATGGCACTTTGTTCTTTTTTCAAATATCCATATAATTGCCTTTTGAATGCTCTGATTCAACCCATCTCCACCACACGTGGGCAGTATTTTCCAGGCCCTAACTCCACACAGTGTGAAAAGTTTCTTTTTCTCTCCAATTTTGCTTTTATTTTAAGTCTGTGCCCTTGCTTGATCCTTCGCAAGTGTGAACAGTTTGTTTGTATCTTCACTGTCCACCTGTAATGATGTATAAAACTATCAAATCTCAGAAACTTTCCCAAGGAAGACAGCCCTAACTTCTCCAAAGTGACTTTATAACTGAAGTTCCTCAATCCAGAACCCTTCTCATAAACCTCTTCTCCAATCTCCTCGATTCCTTTGCATCTTTCTGAGAACGTGGCCCTTTGAACTGTACACAATAGTCAAGCTGAAATCTAATTAATAGAACACAGAACAGTTCAGCACAGGAATAGGCCCTTT